GGTTCTTTGGTTTGGTTCCGTCTGGCCTTCTTGGCACCGACAACTTTTAATGGATGACTGGATCAGGCCCTAATTGCCATAACAAAGGCATCTTCCTGACATAAAAATGTATAGGTGGTCTGTAGACTTAGACAGAGGGTGGAGGGTGTTATGGATATCAGTCTGTGCGCTTAGTCATACATTTCACTTATGGGAATTCAACGAAGCCTAACATTTCTTCGCATCAGCCGCCCGATAGACCCAGTTGCATGTAGGCAAGGCACCTCAGCGGAAAATGCCGCGATGATGTGCTGAAAGCTATAAATAGGACGACAGAATAAATCAAGGGCTAGGAAAAAAACGGTCTTGTTCCTGCAACTAGGTCGCTTGCACTCACCTAAGTACAAGATGAATAACTGCACCAATGTAAGGCTCAGTGCCAGTAATTCAAATGTGATATTGGTATGGTAGATTCTCTAACAGACGAAATCTTATAATTCAACTGACCCAACTGTGAAACATTCGTGGCCTCGGTAGCATTCGAACGCACATAGTAAGGGAATGTTTTTGTACAGCTAATGCTCTACCACTGAGCTAGGAAGTCATTTTGAGACTTTGAATTTAAATTTAAATCCAATAAATTTCCCAAGATAAGTCTTCTTTATAAAAATATGCCCGCGCTGCCTCACAACATCCGGCCAGTTGCTCCTTCGATACGTAGATATGACGTGAAATCACCTTTACTAAACGGCGTTGAGCGACTCAAGAAAATTAAAAAATTCAAATGTGTGTGATTAACCACCTCATAAAATTTTTATCATGACCTTTCATGACTTAGGCAAACTAAATACCGGTTAATTTCACACACTTGCAGAAACATTCACCAGAGAAAAGGGCACTGAGGTGTATTTAAATTCTTAGGAATGAAACTGTCAACTGCCGATAAACAGCCTTTAGAAAGGTGCAATTTGCAACCGCCTCCGTTATTGTATACCTTTATCAATTTGCGTATTGTGTTTCGTTTCATAATATACCAGTTCATTTCTTCTCGAGGGTAATTTGTTCATACAAGTAAAAGTACATATTGAGGAATGTGCGGAAGTACGCATAGCAAAAACGTAATATTTGTGCTGAAACCGCCTATTCAAGGTAGATCGTGAACGCGAAACGTGCTTGAATGTGAAGTGTAGCATACTTTGACACACTGGTGCGTTAGTGTATCCATTTATGTTTCAGTTAGACAAGGAAGAATCGTGGAGGGAGTCCGAACGAGATAAGGCAGTTAGAGACGAATATGGAATAACATTTTCTCGTTCGTTATCTAAATCCGTCGTCCACACAAGAAAGTCAAATCTCAGAGTACTTCAAACCACATCTTCACAACGCGGTTGTCGGTCAGTAAGCGTGACTTCCTAACGCGTGAAAAATCGCCAACCCATTAAACCCGAATTGATGTATTTGTTACGTGCTCCCATAATCATGTAGCGTGGTAGTTGCTTTAGACCCGATCAGGGTATAGCAGGCATTGCTCGGCTTTCGTCGCATTAACAAATACCGAATATGAGGGGTGCCAATACAAGCGAACATGCGAATCTCAGGAAGTACAGTATTGCGAGTCCTCCAAGCAACTCGCCTAAGTTTGCAAATGTTTGATTATTTCTCCCATACCAGCGAGAACGCATTTGCGAAAACTTTTAAATAATAATAAGCAGCAGTGCTTGAAAGAACTATAAGAATTACTAAGTGTTTGTTAAGAAAAATAAAA